TCAACAACAAAAGGGGGAATCTCCAGGCGAGCGTAGTAGAAAGGGGATGACGAAAGCAAGTTGTATAGTTCCAAGGACCATCTTTAGAAGACTAAAAGGCTGACTGCAACTGAATACGGCGATATTTAAGCCTGAAGAGTTTCTTTTATTTATTCATTTGTAGAGAGCGTTGAGTACCCCATATGCTGAGAGCTTGCTCGAAAGGCTTGCGTCAATCTACGTCAAAATCCATATTGGCGATCGCTCAACAGGTAATTTTCTTCCAAATACGCAAAAAGGTGATTTGAGTAGTCATAAACGCTCTATAATCTTACAGAGAACAGAAGTTAATGAAATTAATAGGGTTGGCACGGCGATTTTTAATGGACACAGGTTGAACATTAGCAATCTTCCAGTACTTACTTGGGTACTATTCTAAATCTCAAAAACATATATCAAGAAATAAAGATCAGGCATATTGGATAAGTAAGGTGCAAACTTTAGGCCTAAATCTGAGAATCCATCAGGCTCACTAGCTTTGTTCACGTCCAAATTACGTTTTTTTTATCATTAAACTACGGGGTCAGGAGGCACACCTGATGCTAAGTGAAACCTCCATGGAAGTGTCTCTGGCAATTGTCCAGTTGGTTCCATACTTTAATTGGAGGCAAACAAAGCAAACAAGTCAGCCTTTTCTTTTGTCGGTACTTGTTAATGGTGACATAGACTGAGGTATTAAAATATGTTATAAATGTATGATGTCAGGGAATTTTTATAAACGAGAACATTGAATAATAAATTGGACTCATTTTTAAATATCATTTTAATTGTGATATCTATTGGTTCTTCATCTATGGCATAGAGTATATATATATAGGAATATCTATGGTTTGAACTTTCAACAGCTATAACTTTTTTTTTTTTTTAATGGCTCTGGCACGATTTGTGCATTAGCCAGCGTCAAGTATAGAATTTTTTATAATTCGTGCTTTTGTCTTTAGAAATTCGACCGTGTCCTCCATGTACGGTTTAAGCACTCGCCCGGTACCGCACAACTCTTCCAAAGGCCGAGAACAAATTTAAATTAAATTAAAACTTGCCCTCGAACCGGGAATCGAACCCGGTACCCCTCACCTAGCTGCCACTTAATAAGACCGCTAGGCTATGAGGCCCCTTTAGTCCAGTCAAATTACGAAATAAATAAACATGAGCGAACACAGTTTGGGGATTTTGAGGATCGATAGGGGGGTGTATTCTGAGCATAAATTCCAATTTGAGGGGTTGTACTGAGGTCAGCTCAAGGTCATTTCGATGGAAACGCGTTTAATTCGATATCTCGAGAATGATTAGTGTTAGGCGAAACATTGTAGAGACCTTTTCTTTTCTAAACAAAATTTACTAACTTTTTTATTTGAAACTTTTTTTTTATAACATTAATATTTTTCAACTTATTACTCCCGCAAGGCAAAATTTTTACTTTTTTTTTCATTTTTCGTCGTTTTCTCCCCAACCATTCAATTTTATTAAATTTTACCGATCATGAAGTGTAGATCTTTTAATTATGAACAATTTTGTTCATAAAATTTTTCCCGTAATGCCAATACCTTCGGAGTTATAGATTACTTTACCGAGCGAAATCCGCGCCACTGTCGCAATATAAAAAGGTCAATCGATCAAACTATTTAAAATTTTGGTATTTAATTTGGGTAAATTTTTGGGTTAATTTGGGTAAGAAGTAAATTAACAATTAAAACTGTTTCACACATTTATTGATAGAAAAATAGGTTATAAAATTCGGAATATTAAGCACCCGAGGTCGATGGAAGTGATTCGTGAATATTCGTGGTCCTGACGGTATCGGGGCATACGTCGTCCTGGTCCATTGCGTCAAGATCATCATCGTCGATAGCGTTCGCGACATTCGAACAATAGTTCTCTTGGCAATTGGTGCATATCACTGAGCAAAAGAGGCCGGCCTTTCTGCATCCGCACGCTTTGCCGCATTTGGTTTTGCATTTGCACGCAATCGATCTCAGTAAATTATCCGGAGCTGGTTTCAATGACATCGCTATCGGCTGCAATCCACGGGGGGTGCGACGCCAGCCCCATTCCTCGGGTTCCAGATAATTTACGAGGACAGATTTCGACGAAGTCGAGGACAGATGTTCCTTACTCGCACTAATACACGCAACAGTGTGTCTGTGGATACACGTTGCGACAATGGCGCGGATTTCGCTCGGTAAAGTAATATATAACTACGAAGGTATTTGCATTACAGAAAAAAGTTTGAGAACAAAATTGTTCATAATTAAAAGATCTACACTTCGATGATCGGTAAAATTTAATAAAATTTAATGGCTGAGGAGAAAACGACGAAAAATGGAAAAAAAAGTAAAATTTTTGCCTTGCGGGAGTAATAAGTTGAAAAATATTAATGTTATAAAAAAAAGTTTCAAATAAAAAAGTTAGTAAATTTTGTTTGGAAAAGAAAAGGTCTCTACAATTTTTCGCCTAACACTAACCATTCTCGAGATATCGAATTAAACGCGTTTCCATCGAAATGACCTTGAGCTGACCTCAGTACAACCCCTCAAATTGGAATTTATGCTCAGAATACACCCCCCTATCGATCCTCAAAATCCCCAAACTGTGTTCGCTCATGTTTATTTAACCCGTTTTTAGCCATAATTTGACTGGACTACTTATAACACTCTTGACAGTCGTGAATGAAACAACAATATTGAATTAAAAAATACTTAATACACGTCGAATTGTAAAACTCCTTCGAGTCGACAATCGACATACAACATCGAACACAATGATTCATTAAAAATCGATTTTTCTTAATTATTAAAATCGATTTCTGCGAAAAAAATCGATTTTTTTCTATTTTTTAAACCCCCCCCCCCGGGGCCCCCCCCCCCCCCCCCCCCCCCCCCCCCCCCCCCCCCCCACCACGGGGGAGGGGGGGGGGGGGGGGTTTTTTTTTTTTTTTTTTTTAAATCCAAATTTTCAAAATGCTTTTCATATTCCAATAATAAACCTAAGAGTTCATATTAACAATTTATTAGGTTAAAATAAAAAAAAAGATATGAATTTAAAAAAAAGGGTGCGTGTACTTATGTACGCGCGTAAGAAGTTATACTTCTTTGGAATTATTAAAAATAGTTTTTGATTGCATGCAAATAATTAATTACAATGAAATAAATAAATATTTATTATTATTCTCTTACATTAAGTGTAACATAAATTCTATTATTATTCGAATGTTGTTTTTAAATTATGTCCAATGCCGTAGCATCTTCCGTGGGCAACTTCATTCTGTTAATTTTGTGTCACGGTGCGCGCGCATCGTAAAATTTCACTCTCATCAATTTTTAATAACGCGCCTAAAGAAGTATAACTTCAAAAATTAACCAATTCAAAACTAAAAATCAAAGCGAATGTTTCTTTAAACTTTCAAGATAAGGAATAAGGAAATCAAATATCATTATTGATACAAATTTTCGGTACTTACCGTTAAACGTTTTATCATAATAAAAATGAAATTATGAGCATCCCATCAAAATAACAACCTTGTTGTCTTAAAAACTAAAATAAAAATTGCCATAAATGTCCAGTACTATTTTATATTTGACTAGGTAGTTTTAAAATAAAGTACTTAAAACAATAATTAAAAAACTAAAGGTCTACGTTGTAGTCTCAAAAAGTAAAATATAAAACAAATACATATTTCGTTAATCTGTAAGTTTAAACAATAAAAAAATCGAAATAATTATTGTCACTAATGTCCAGTCTCGTCTTGCGTAAGAGTAGTATTCAAATAAAATGAAACGATAAGTAGAAAAGCTAAACGTTAACGTATTGTCACAAAATGTTCAAAAATTTTACATTTGATTAGAATAATTATTACCATAAATTTTCAGGTAAGCAGTTGAAAAATATTTTTTTCCTAAAATACGGTTTCGTGTTTTCCTGACCATATTTCCCGCTTTGGAAAATAATCTTTTGGATGACCATCACAGAGAGATGCTTTAAAAAAGGTCCAATTCGGTATTTTTCACCATTGATGGGTTGCCAAGGCCATTATTTTTTCGTGATGTACCTGCTATATATCTTGTCCGTTGACCAAAGATTTTGATGAAACAGATGATTCAGAAATAGCCCCTTCCGAATTATCAATATTTTAATATTCAAGTTTAAACATTTCTTAGTTTAATTTATTGTTTTTGAGAAGGATAAATGGTCATCATCTAAATGATATTTTTTTGAATCTAGGATCAAAAAGGAAAAACGTTGCAACCGAAAAAAGGTGTACTTTTTGGATGTTTTCGAATCTTTTATTAAATAGCGCACTGTTGACGAAAATTGATATAAACGCTTAATTTATATAATCGATTAGTATTACCATGAAAATCGATTATTTTTGTGATGACAATAGAGATATTATAATAATATAATATAGATATAATAATAATTTTCGTCATTCATGAATTCGTTTCGTTTTTCAAAAATTTATGGTAAATTTATAAACAAAGTTTACTATTACAAATAAAACAAGGACACATTTTTCTTAAAAAACTTACCAAAGCTTCCAACACCATAAATAATAAAAAATCACTTCATCAAACTTTACAATTAGTTCTCCACTTTATTCTTTTTCATGGTTTTCAGCTAATAGACACTAGGACATATCATCAATGTTAGGTAACTTTTATTTTGGCTAAATGATCAATAACATAAATCAAATAAAGCTATGAAATGATAGACCAATCAATCAATAAGTCTAATATATAAATATTGGTTGTACACAATATGATGAGCTTTATAACAAGTGATTTAAATTATATGATGTCATTATTACAGCATGAATATAATTACTTAATAAATTTCATGATTAAATATATACATGACTACCTGAAATGCTAACCATCTATGCCACCAAGAATAAAACTGTTGATAATTAATGTCTATCAATATGAAATGGAATGTTAACATAAAATCTGAACTATCTGTATTTATTATTTAGCAGCTTCTGGAGGGCAGTCCGGCTGAGCTGAAGGGTGTGCGGCACGAAAAGCCGGATGATTCTCCAATTCACGATCAATACGTAAGATAATTGGGAATGGACGAAGGTCTACATGAAATCTGAAAATTTGAAATATGCAGCATATACAAAATTGTCTATGTAATTAAATTTGTAAGTTATTTGAAAAGGAAATGTGTTGTGGGAAATAACACAGTGATGATAAAAAAACAGTATGTTGGTATTATCAATATCCCAAAAGGGATGATTTGTTGTAAATATTGCCGATGAAAACTAGCGGGAAAAACAAATATTATACCAATTTGATATTGCAAGTTCTCAAGAAATATGCATCCCTCTGTGCATTAAAAAATAGTCTAGTAATAATTTTTGTTTCGTTTATATAAATATAGTTTTAGTAAAATACCATTAAATGTACCTTCTGGCGTTAAAAACTTGAGGTATCAGACAGCAATCTGCCAAGCTAATCTCATCTCCTACACAGTATTTTCCAGCAACAGAAGATAATATTTTTTCAACAGCTCGAAATCCCCTTGTTATCCAGTGCTGCGCCCATTCCTTTTTTTTCTCTTCACCAACATGGATAAGAACTATTAGGTTCTGTAGCGGTTGAATTCCTGATGATATTACCTAAAATTAGGAATTACTTTGTATTTTCTATATAATAAAGGGGTAAATTATATTTTTGTTAGTTATAATAATATAGATAATATAATAACAAATGTCTAATAAATATATAATGAGGTACTTAAATATTAATAAAATTAAACTTATAAACATAAACTAATAATAATAAAATAATATACATTGAAATAAATAACGAAACTTAACATAAACTAAAATATATCATTAAAAGGAGTCCCTTTAGGCAAGGTTCCGAAGATACTGGCAGCGTTCCCCCTTTGAATTGCTAGACTAATTCTTTGTCCGAGGTAGCTGCCAGATCTTCGGTCTCCTGTGATGTCGACTAACCTTTTTGAAATTTCTTTAAAAAGCCTTAAAGCGCTAGGACCCCACGGACCAAGGGTCTCGACACCGAATGGGACAAAATCATATTCAGAGCCCAGACCCCTGTATTTGCCTGCTTTATTTTTTTCAGCCGCTTCACAAGCCGCACCAGCTCTGTAGTTGGTTCCATGTAGATGGGAAGGGGCCAGCGTGTCTGAACAGGTTGCATCCCATACCAGTACCCGACCCATCTTCCATGGAATCAAACTCATACCGTCCGGTCTCTTGCCATCGTCTCTTGCAATACCACTTGGCTCAAGAAGACTTGGCACGTTGACGGTGGCAAGGGAACGGCGTATGATATCGTTAAGTGCGGCATGTCTCGAGAAGCGGCCTGCACTTTTTTGGCATGACAGGCCGTGATGTCCTAACTTGTCGACATCACTGCCACAGGGACATATATGAGGAGCGCAGACCGGAACCCCAAGCCGTAGACAGGTTGCGATTCGAAGCGTGTCAGGCTCAAGAAAAGTTCCTGTATTTGACGATGGGTAAGCGTGAAGCCAGTAGCCGGCCTCATGCGTGCCCACGGCCAAAAGCCTAGCACGCGCCGAACCTGTACTACGACTCAAAAGATCGTCAAAAGTCAACTTGCAGTGTATGTCATCCCAGCTCCTCTGTGAATTTAGAGATAATGGAAAATTTTGACCTGGGCATGCAATCAAGAAAGCGTTTCTAGCTTCTTCCAAGCCAGCAATCTCAAAGTTTGAAGGGGATGCCCTTAAAATTTTACTTATGAGATTTGCTGAACTATGGACAGAAGATAGAAAGGCTGGTAAAGTGACACTGGAAATTTTGCGAATCCCTAAACCACCATAACGGATGGGTAGGGAAGCTTGGGTCCAAGATTGCTCGTTCAGCTGCATATTAAGAAGTGATTCTAAGCTAATTTTGATTTAGTCGTCTAATGGTGTTAAAAAATCTGGGTGATTCCAAAAGGAGCAGCAACGGAGCACATACGTAAATTTTGGGAGGAAAAGACAGAATTTTAAGATGCAAAGTGCATAATGTGGACTAATTTCAAGGAGACGGTCAGCAGAATTTTGAAATTTAGTAATTGAAGTATGAATATAATCAGAAATAGATTCATTAAAAATTGGAGAACCTAAAAGGTAAAGGGAATTCCTGTTAACTATTTTAATATTTGGAGCCAAAATTGGATTTTTTTTTTTACATTATTTAAATTTAAGTCGCAGTTATTTATGAAAAGTTCGCATTTGTTAAAATTAAGCTCCAAACCAATGGCTTCAAATTTATTTTTGATTAAAAGAAGGTCCGAAAACACAGTATCCACATCACCTCCTAGGGTTCCGTCGTCCAAATACCAAACATTGAAATTAGAATTTAAATTTTTGATTATGGGATTTATAGCCAAACTAAAAATTGCAGGCCCAAGGGGATCACCCTGTTGACAACCTACTTCCGAGGAAAGTTCATTAGAACGATATAACAATTTAGTTGGATCAGCGTAACTGAGAAGAAGATAATTGTATATTTCCGGTATATGTTGTTTTATTTCAGTCAGCAGGGTATCCCTATTTACCGAATTAAATGCATTTTTCACATCAATTTTGAGCAACACGTCTGGCTGTCCGTGACTTAGGAAAGAGCGTAGGGCATGGACGGCTGCCTCACACCCTCCTTTCACACCGAAGCCTAACTGTACAGGTTCAAATTCTGAATTTAATTTTGGTAAAATATGTCGAACAGCAATTTTGGAAGCCAGACGTCTTAGTGTTGAACCAACAGCAATTGGTCTCACCCCTCCGTCCTTTTTAGTGAGGGCAATGAGGTTCGCGCCGAAAAGAATGGGAACAATTTCTGTATTGACATCCCCGGAATACATAAAATTTATTAATTTTGTGATCGAGTTAATAAGTTGCTCGCCTGCATCACCCACAGAATGCGATGTTAAATCTTTCAAATGTTGGGGTGAGATTCCATCCAATCCTGCTGCCGAACCTGGTTTAAAAGATAAAATTGCATCAGTTACATCTTTGTTTCGAATTTTAAGGCATGCTTGCCCTGCTGTTGGTGGGTCGAGAAAATATGGGTTTACTGGAGCTGGGGGATGTTTAGCCCGTAATGCCTCAAGGGTGTCAGGCGTATCTGGCGATAGCACGTCATTGGAGAACAAAAGACGAGCGGCACCTTTAAGATCTCCGTCACAAATTTTGTTCTCGATGAGTTTTTTGCGATTAAAAGGGGCATCATGTTTAATTAGAGGTGCGGGAGAAGGTGAGGAACTTACAGCACAGTTATTCTTTATCTTTTGTGTCAGGGATAAATTCAGTTCATCAGTTTTTATTATGTGTAGCGTACTGTATGAAAATAAAAATAAGTTCTGCCAGTCTTGAGTACAATTGCTTATATAACATTTCTGGATTAATTTTGACAAATGTGTAGCAACAGTTATTCGTGCTCCGCGAGGGATTCTTTTAACAATGGGTATACTATTTTTCAAATAGCTAAGTAATGTATGAAAAGGAGTTGGAGCGTTGGCTGCAAAAGTAGGCGCACTCGGAATAATGGGATGGATTTCTAAAAGTGAACTGGTTTGGCTAATACAGTTCCTGTGTGTTTTAGAAATGTGTATTTTGAGGCCTTTCAAAGATTTGAAAGACTTGTTGCAAAATGTACATGTATGGGACGCGATCGACGTGCCATCACAAGATAGGGTCACGGCCTGCATTCACAACAGTTAATAAACTAACATAAAAAAAACAATAACTTAAAACAAATTTAAAAACACAAAAAAGTTACTTAAAAAGGACACATAACAAAAAATAGGACAAGATCAAAAATAAAAAAGAAGGCTGCTGGTTTTGGTAACTCTTCGTTTCGTCACAGGATGAAAATAAAATATGAAAATAAAATAAACACACAGGCATCAGCAGGAGCACAACACAAGCAAAAGCAGGAGCACAACACAAGAAGAAGCAGGAGCACAAGCAAAAGCATAAAGAGCACAAGCAAGAGCACTGAGAAAAAAGGGTTCAGGTTTAGGCATAAGCAAATTTTGTCTGACCACTATTAAATTGTCTGTTTCTTAGACTTTACGTAATTTTATTTTATTTTGTTTTTGTTTATTTCCATTTTTTACGCATTCAATATCATCATTTTGCATCATATTCCATTTAATTTAATCAATTTTTATTTCTAAATTCTCATAAATATTTTTTTCATGTTGTCACTTTGACAACTTTTTCTATATTATAGTTGTATTAATATATTTTGAGTTTGGAGTCAAATTAATTTAATTAGACTAGATCACATGGAAGTTTTAGATTAACCATGTACCAATCCATAGCTGAATGAAAGGGCTATTAAATAATTACAAGACAAATTAAGAGTTTTATACTAGTACTACACATATATAATTGTAATTGCGTGAGTTAAAAACTTGTTGCTAGTGGGTACTGTTTGAGATAACTTTTTCTATTTAAATAGATTTTCCTACTAGTAAAGCCAACCAAGAAGCCATGCAAATGTCATTCATTCATCCTTAATATCATGGATGGTTGGAGGAAAGAAGGAAGGACAAAAAACAAACAAACATTAATTTTACATTACCTCACAAATCTCTCTAACTTTTGCTCTTTTATAACAGTCCTGCGGCATAAGAGATCTTTGAGGTCTGGTTTCCTCCAAATAATGCATAACACTAAGAGATTCTATTAATGTATGCCCATCTGTAATATTTATAAAGTTATAGACAACCGCAAGCCATTATTTGAATGCTTAAAACAGTGTAATTATATTAATATTAAGGTGAATAAAGTTCAGGTAAAATCCCACACTTCTCAAATCTTATTATTGTGAATTTTCCTTAACAGGAGAGCTAAGCTACTCTATAGTAATTGAGCAATCAAGTTTTAATGAAATACATTATTATACTAGCACTATTACACAAATAGTTTACATTCTATCAGATATTTTTTAGTAAGCATTTTAAATACATACAACAAAAATCAAATATTATTTGATAATATTAGTGTATGTATATGAAAAATTAACAGCATGGTACCTATAACAAGAGAAGGAACTTGTTCCATTGGATTCACCTCTCTATATTCATTGCAGTGTTGTTCTCCACCACCTTTTATCAAACTAACTGCTTTTATGTCATAAGGTATTTCTTTCAGATTTAATGCAATACGAACACGCCAAGAGCATGAGCTTCGCCAGTATGAATACAGCACCGGCTGAAAAATTTAAAAATAATAATATCAGAATCAATTCAATTGATATGAAGAGATTCTATATAGATAGTAGAACAAAATATTTACTGATATATTATGTTAAATAAATATACCTTTACTACAGTTTGTCCTTCCATTTTATCACTCACAAGAACAATGACGCAAGCAATATTCTACAGGAAAATCTCTAAGCAAATAAGAGCTAGCTTTTGATTTCAAGGTTTACCAGTATTCAAATAAAATTGGTTAAAGTAGAATAAATAAAAAGCCGGTTTTCGTTAACATATTACATACCTTAGCCATGACGGATATAATGTCGTATTTAGGATAGTAATTAATTTTGGCGGAGTTTTATTACGGTTAATAAATAAATGTTAAAAAATAACATTCAAATGTAACTTCGCTTCATCAGTTTTTCTATACTTAGTCCGTACGTGTTTACTTAAGCATATAATGATTAAGAATCTATTTGTTTGGTAATCTTTTACAATATATAATGAATTCCCTATATAATTTGTTTATTTGAATAGTTAATATTACAAATATTTATAAAAGTTGAACCGTATATTAAATTTTCGGCTCATTATCGGGCTATCGGTAATCGCCAATCGGCTAAGTAATTCACAGAATAGAAATGAGCAATTACAAACAATCTGCACGCTGCACAGACAATCAATTCCCAGATTACACAGAACCCACAAGAACAAGATAGAAAAAAATTTTTACTTCGCATTGTAGCAACCTCTTTTGAAACAATGTTTTTTAATAGTTCGCCTTGTAGAATCTCAAACTACAAAGATGCCTCTTTTAATATAGATATTGTAACCAGATTAAAACTAGAATTAAATAGGAATAAACTATAATGTTCAAATAATACTTAAATTTATAATTTTACTTAAGATTTGATATAATTTCACAATTCACATCTGTCTGAATTAGCCCAGTGGATTGTAACATAAAAGTAATGGGTCTTACTACTTTTTAAATAAAATTGTAATTCCGTATATTTGGTCACGTTGACAAGGCAAAATATTATCGAAAATAGTTGAACTTGATAGACATTAGTCATAGCTAATGACAATCTCACTTGATAGTTAAACGGTTAAAATATCAAGTAACAAGTTAGATAGGTATTAGTACACCCAATGTACACTATCTAAATGGCGCCCTAAAAATAATTGACGTTTCGACTTTCGATATTTTATAACATCGATGTATCGTAATCGAATCGAATAATCGATGAAATCGAAGTCATCTGTCATACGTAACACGTTGAGAATAGCAATAGAGAGAGATTTCAGATATATAAATTATAATAGAAGATAATATAAAAGTTACAAATTTGTTATTAAGCTCTACCGAATAAAGATTTTTATTTCGCAATAATTATAATTCATTATCAAAATATGGGAAAAGATAAAAAGAAAGGCATTAAGGGCAATGTTTTTAAAGTGGCCGGTGCTAAAAGTTTAAAAAAAACTAAAGCTAAAGCTGTAAATCTTGGATTAAAAAATGTATAAGTTAACCTTAATTATTTTTGTGTTAAAAATGTATTGGACACTAGATTGGGTTCCCTAAACATGTCTTCTAAATTTTCAGATGAAACAAAAAGTAGCAGACATGGACAAACAATTTCTTGACATTAAAAGTTGTACAAAGATTAGTCAAGTTAAAAAGAAGCCTGAAATAAAAGGACCAGAAAAGAAACTAGAAAATAATGTTACACAGGAAGAAGTTGCATCTACCATAGCAAAAGTGGTAAAAATGGATATATAAAATATAGGTAAGTTAATTATATTATATTGTGTATCATATATCCCAGAAACAGTTAAAAGACATTTCATATTGATATTATGCATGGGTAAAAATCAATATACCACTTGTGACATGCCCTTATAAATTTTAAATTAACCATTCAATTTGGTATATTATTTTAAAACTTGGCACATATTAGGTCCTTATATATGAAATTGGCGTTTTGTATGGGAGAAACAAAAATTAGATTTTTTTTAAATAGAGTATATTTAATTAAGCAAAGTATGTACCATTACTATCTATGTACTTTTGCCATGTTAGTTGTCAATGAACTAACATTATTAAAAAATACCATTTGGATGGGAATCAATAAAATCAGCAGCAGCTGCAGTTTCGGCTGCCCCATCAGAGTTGAATTTTTTACCTTGCAAAAAGTTATCGTATTCTGTTGGAGCAAGGTCCAGGAGTATGGTGGAAGTCTTGGACATTCCAATTGAAGGTACTCTAATTTTGTAGTAGCCTAGAGCGATTGACCAGCATTGGTTGTTTAGCAGCTAGCTTTTCCACCATGGTTTGCAGTTGCAGAAAATAGACATCTGGCATAACTAATATTATTAATTTAATTACTTTATTTCTTATACTATATAGTGACTTGATCTGCAAATAACTCGTGTAAGTGTTTGTTATTTTTATCAATGACATTAATATTTGAAGTGGATATAGTTTTTATGCTTTCACTGCACTACTCCACACACCTAAAAATTAAATAGAGAATCACCCATTCTATTAAAATTATTAAAAAAAGTCTAATTTTTATTACTTAATCCATTCCATAAAAATTCCTTGAATATTACCACCCTTTTAAGTTTTGTTCATTCAAATTCCTAACTATTTCAACTAGTCAACAATGTTTTATATAAAAGTCTTAATTATATTTTATCTAGATTAGATTGATATTAATTAAAAAATATGTTTACTAGCTGTTACCATATTTGATCAGAATTTCACATTGAATTAACTTTTAATTTTCAAATATAAAGTTTTATGAATAGGTAATGGAATATAACATTTTGTCTTAATCTCTTGTGGTGTATATATAAATCACTCTAATAAGTTAACCTCCTTTACAGGATTGTGGATGGGACAGTACAATTCTGATTAAATTAAATACAAGGGAATGGAGTTGTGTTGTGGTTGCTGAAATGTATGACATTAGTTAAGTTACTAAAAACTACACAACAGTAACCTAAATAAATAGATATTTTATTTTTATTGTCTTTTATTGTTAACATTAACAAAATACATATATTCTTAAAAAATATTATGTTAACAAAACATTGTAGTGGTAGCAAAACAACTCTCGATTAACTGCATAATTGTATTATGCGTATGAAAGTGATAGAATAGAGAACAATACCACTACATTACTAGAATATCATTCATGTGTCCTGGCATAAATAATACATAGTAGAAACTTAATGTCAATAAGAAGAAAATGCACAACAATTACTAGTTAAGATATATAAATCTATTCTTCGTCCGTCACGTCTGGTTCAGCTTTTTCATCTTCACTCACATCAGCGACCTCTGTGTCTTCAGCTACTGGATCTTCTGGTGATACTTCAGGACTTAATGGTTCTTCAACAATGGGTTGACTCTCTTCTGCTGGGATGTCACTGCAATTCATATATAAGTTTGAAAAATATCATCTCCCTTAATAAGAGGCCTATAAGATTGTGGCGGCAATGGTTTTATGATTATTGCAATTGGTTTGATTTCGTTATGATATACATAATAAATATTAAATAGTATATCATCGGAAGTATGCCTGATACTAGAGAATCATTTTTGACTGTCAACAAAGTCCTGTGACTTGTAATCGCAGTAATGACCGCATTAGAATTGATCTTACTACCTATAAAGCCATAACAACCTGTATCTAACAAACACTATTTCCACAGATGCATTGCAACTATACAAAAACATTTTTAAGACACGCTATTTATAGAAAAATACCTTGATTCTTCTATAACATCAGCCGCGGAGCCACTTCGTGATAATTCTTCTATCCGAGCCGCTGCTAATTCAGATTCTTGTCTTGCGATTTCAGCCAACTCAGCAGCCTATAATGTTAGAAGAAACTTACCTTAAAGCTGTAGATAGTGAAATACTTTCCCCTTTTAATTGACTGACAAACAAAATAAACTAACATTGCAATATCTTATCCGCCAGTTTTGGCCAAAAATCTCGAAATCATATTCAAAATTATTCGTTTCATTAGCATTGCACGAGCCAAGACTGTATATGTCTACTCGCTTAGGTTTCTTAATATTTACAGGCTTAAATACCCAAATGTTAAGAAAAGTCTGTGAAACGGACGTACATAACATTTGTCGCGGTACTTGGAGTTTGAACTTTATCAGAACATTTTTAAATTTCATACCTGACGCGCAAGTTCAGCCTCTTTATCTTCTTGGGCCTGTCGCTCCAGTTCGGTCAGTCTAGTAAGCTCTTCTTGCCTTCTTTGTTCAGCTTGTTTTTCTTCTTCGGCTAGTCTCGCCTCTTCTGCTAATTTTGCCTCCTCTGCTAATCTTGCTTTTTCTGCTAATCTTGCTTCTTCTGCTAATCTCGCTTCTTCGGCTAACCTTGCCTCCTCTGCTAATCTTGCTTCTTCAGCTAACCTTGCCTCCTCTGCTAATCTTGCTTCTTCAGCCAACTGGGCTTCTTCGGCTAAACGAGCCTCCTCAGCTTTACGCGCCTCTTCAGCTAGTCTAGCCTCTTCAGCCTCACGAGCTTCATCAGCTTTCTTTGCCTCTTCTGCTTTTCTTAATGCCTCTTCAGCTTCTCTCGCCTCTTCTTCTGCCTTACGCTTGGCCTCTTCAGCTTTACGTGCTTCTTCTTCTGCTTTCTTTTTGTCAGCAGCCTCACGCTCAGCCTGCTTAAAAAAATAAAAAAAAATATTAAATACACTTGCTTACTGTCTTATGGAGAATCGTATTGTAGCTCATTAGGTACGTGTAACAAGTAAAAATGTAACCAGCAAAACAAGTGATTTTTTGCAAATAACGTCATACCTTAGCTTTTCTTTCAGCCTCGCGCTTAGCTTCTTCCTTAAGAGCCCTGTAAATAAAATATAGGTATCAAAAATACTTTCGTAATTCAGATATTCTTTTTTTGATTTCACTTCTGTTAGTAAATGTACTAGGCAGACATTATCAATTATTAATACTTTATTAAAGTCATACAATACTCACTTTTCTTCAGCGGCGCGAGCCTCTTCTTGTCGCTTCCTTTTAATCTCTGCTAAGTCCACCGCTGGCGCGAGAACCGGCTCCGCGGTAGTGGCACGGAATCTTTCAGCACGCTCAGCTTTAGCAGCTTTCAGCTCAAGCGCCGGGTCTTCCATAACTTGTGGCGCCTGGAACTTGCGGCTCGGCCTCCACGGAAGGAGTTTAACTGCACGGCGGCAAAATGCATAGTCACGATAGCCATTGGCAAAATGAATCATTGCTAGCCGCCTAAAGGCTTGTCATTTCACACCAATGGCCAATGTCGGGATTAAAAGCGATTTAACGATACAGTGCCTGAAATATCAGCTAAAATGATTGCATGTTGCATTGCGTGGAGCAGGGCCCAAAAGCTCATGTACGAGCACACTTACATTATGATTGTTTTGAAAATCAGTGATCTAAAGCGATTGCAAGCATGGTTGGGCCAAATTATCTTGTGCTTGTATGATATGGGTTCAATATACAAAACTTAAATTTACATTTGGCGAGACATGGCACTTGTGCAGACATCGGAAAATTGCTGTGGCAAATTACCTGTACGTTTTGATAAAATAAAAAATATTTAACACCACAAAAATGTGTATACATGCAGGTAATTAGTAGAGGAAGCAAAGCATCAAGAAGCTCGGAGAACATAAGCTCGAGGCGGGTAGTCTAGCATGCAAACTAATTGAAACAACTAAGGTAATGCATTACAGTTTATTATGGTTTCCGTATCAGTTCTGTTACTTGAAAACTATACGTTTTCGAGTATTCACGCCTTAGGAAAGTACAGTTTAAAAGTTTATTATAAAAATATTATACTTAACAAAAAATATATATTGAATTTAATAGAATCTCTAAAAATATACGATTTCTGTGTTAGTCGGAAGATGTTATACCGAGATCAAAGAGCGCGATAAGGGCACGACGCGGGGGCAAGGAAACGCGTAACTTGCGCCCGCGACGCGCTTCGCCAAGAGCTGTCCGACCTACGCACACTGCGCCGCTGACGTTTGTTCCGGCGCGTCTTTCGCTGTAAGAGACACTCAGTGTTACACACAAGATTTATTTGCTTTTTAAAGCAGCTTATTTAGACCGACCTTGTCGGATTTCAGATTCAGCTAAAGATTTAGATACTTAAACGCTTAAGAGATAACCTCGTAACATACAGTTAAGATAGAAAACAAAATATCTACTCTAAATTATTTTACACACGTCTTTACCATTGAGGTTCAATGTAATGATGATGAAGCTATGATTGAATGTGTAATTTTGTCCCAAACGGATCTTATAAAATAAAAATGACAAGGTAAAGAACAAAACGTGGAATTATAATGCCAAAACATAATTACATATTTACAAACCGTATTATATACTTTTCGAGTATTATATTGTATTTAAGTTCATAATTATCAAATAGTTTATCGGTAGTGAATACATTGATTGTGGTATCATTATATTAAAAGCTACGAGATCGCTCTGGCGTTTTTTAATTATTTAAAAGATTATGCAGAGGAAAAGCGAGCGCTAGTAGTGCGATTTCTGCAAGATACCTGTGGCATTCTCGACGGCCAAACCGGCAGCCGCGAGTCTGTTCTTCGCGTAAAAAGAAAGAAGGTTGACGTCATCCCTGATGCTCAGTTCCTTGTAGAGAGGTCTGCGGTTGGAGAAGGCCTTATTGCCGGAGTAGTGCACGCACGCGAGGTTGCCGCGTCCTGGCGAGCACACCTCTGTTACCACAGGGACACA